GATGATACTTGAACCATTTTCACAACAATAAATTTCAAAATGTTGTAAAGATTGTTGAACACGAATAAGAGTAGCCAAACTTTTAGCTTCATCTTCAAGATCAGAATCATCTTTTCTCGACCTTGTACCGTGCCAATTAGTTGAAGAATAATCCATCATTACAGAAATTTTATTAATTCTAATAGAAATTTCAGATAATAAATCAAATAATTTTCTTTTTGATTGACGAGTTGTACATATTAATTCACTTAAAGAAGATAAACAAGAAATGGCACCAGGGTAAGCGGGGAGTAAGATATATTGATCAGGAACTGGACGAGTGTTTTGAAAACGATCCATTAAAGGAGGTAAAGAAGCGCACCTAAATTCATTGAGATCACGAGTAGAATAAGTTCTATCGATAGATAATTGTTTAAGAGTAGAACTTCTTCTCATTAATAAACGACATAAAAGTTCAGTGACTATACGTTCACGAGGGTGTAAAGATAAAGAGATAGGAGTAGAAGGGGAAGAAGAAGAAGTAGGAGAAGTAGGGGTAACAGGAGTAGATAATATAGAAGTAGATAATATAGAAGAAGTAGTAGTTATAGTAGTATCAATACTAGTACTATCCGAATCACTTTTATCATCAATTTTTCTTCTATTAGAACCAAAAGATTTTAAGTAACGAACAACTTTTGAAAATTTAAATTTTTTCTGTTTTTTTTGAGAAATTCCAAAATCCAAGAGTTGTTTTGAATCATAATCCATAAGACCAGCCATGAAAATTATATTTGATTCCAACCAATCTCTTATAGAGGTATAAAATTCATCCAAATCCAAATAACGAATGAAAGCCGCGTAATCAAATAAAGGAGATTCAAAAGGTAATTTAATACCATTTTCCATTAAAAAAATTTTTTCTTTTTCAGTTAAACAACTTAGATAAATTTCAATTAATTTAGAACTTCGGGAGATTCTTGATTCTTTATGACAATTACAAGATATGATATTGCAAGTGTATATGAAACGAAAAGGTTTTGACCAAAGGTATTCTACCGAAGTTGCACACCATAAACGATTTACTAATAGACAAGAATATAAAGATTTTTGATCTGATAAATTTTGAAATATTTGACATAAAACATCTGCTGGCAAAAATGGTGCCATTATAAAAAAATATTTGTACAATAAAAAATTAAATCGTTAATAAAAAAAGTAAAAAAAGTAAAAAAAAAGTAAAGTGTGAAAAAAATGTGAAAAAAAATGTGAAAAAAAGTGAAAAAAAATGTGAAAGGTATGTATGAATGATCTCGTGTGAATGTGGTGAATGTGAAAGGGGAGGAGAATCAAATAATCGAAATAATCGAAATAATCAAGAGAAATCAAGAGAATCGTAAGAATCGAGAGAATCGAGAGAATCGAGAGAATCGTAAGAATAAACAATTATGAGAGCCCAAAGGTAATCCAGTAATCCAATAATCCAGTAATCCAGTAATCCCAATAATTTTGTTCCACCAGAGAAAAAAAAATATGAATTTTTGAAAGTATAAAACAAAAGTATAAAAGTATTAAAGCAGATTGCACCCTATTTATATAAACATGTAAAAAATAAAGTATATCGGTAAAAAAAAAAAAAAAAAAGTTTTTTTTTTTAATATTATTATATACACTCTCTTTTGGATGTGTAGGATGTGTAAAGATGTGTAAGATGTGTACGGAGTAATTATATATATAAAAAAAAAAAAAAAACTTTAAATGAGTAATAAATAAATAAATAAATAAATAAATGATAAAAAAAAATATACATTATTATTACATTATATTATTAGATTACATTATAAATTATATTATATACATACATTATAATTATTATAATTGTAATAATAATGTATTATAATAATATAATGTATAATGTAATCTTAATATTTTAAACACAGCGTATAAAAAAATACGAATCACAAAAACAACCAGATTTGCAAAGAACATTAAAAATATTATTTGAGAGCATATAATGACATTTTGCGTAAATTAGATGCGCAGTTTACATAAATACAGGATTTATTTAGTATTACGTATAAGTAGTATTATAAGTATGGTATTATATAAGTAATATTATGAGTATTATGAATAATAGTACTCAGTTATAGTTAGTAGTATTATCAGTTATGAGTAGCAGTAAGTAAACAAGATTAATATAAATATTGAGAGACTTGTGGCGTTTACAGTTTCATCCCGCACGGCTTGAATTTTTTAATTTATCCATAAATAATTCGGGCCACCCGAAAAAAAGTACAATTTTACTTTTGATTGAAATCCGGGCCACACTTTGATTTTCTCGAGAACTTTTTGAAATTCTTGAAAAAAAAATTCTTTATAATTATTATTATTATAATTATTATAATTGTCGATATATTTTTTAAAGATAAAATGATGCCGCGTCATAGCGATAGATAGAGTAACCTGATGATGAAATAGTATGAAATACTATAGACAGAAACATTTTTGAACTAACAATCATTTAAACTAACAATCATTTAAACGACACAATCATTTAAACGACACAATGGCATAACAGATTGAGCCTCTAGATTTTTTTTTATTTTCGCAGTGACTACGCACTATCAATTATCAAATTTAAAGTCATGAGATTATGAACAAAATGTTTCACTAAAGAAAATATTCTCGTTTTCACAAGAACCAAGGTTATATAGATAATTTCTTTCGAAAATTCTTTTGACAATTAAGCAAAGACAAAAAAGTAATAAAACTTGAAAATTTCTTCTCAAAGGATACAATTGATTATACAATTTGATTATAAACAAGCAAATTAACTTTTTTTTTTTTCATACTATTTACCCCATTTTGCCATTTTGAATCATGACAAGTCACTCAGCAAAAAATTGACGCGAATTGAGTTCGTCGCTTAGACTTGACAGACTTGACAACTCACGGAATATTTATTATTATTATTGTTATTATTATTTATTGTTACTTTTGTTATATTTTATTTTTGTTGATTTATTCAAATATATAGAGATATTTAACAAGTAGATTGATTAATCAAGTAGAAGTATTCAACAAGAAGATATTCAACAAGTAGATTAGTCAACAAGTAGATTAGAGAGATTAGTCAACAAGTAGATTCGAAATAGATTAGAAGCAGATTAGTCAAGTAGATAGAAGAAATATTCAGGTAGTTAAATTCATAGATTCAGGTAGATAAACTCAAAGATAAGTAGATAGATTCAGGTACTCAAAAGACAAATCGAGAAAAGGTTTATTTACAAGACTAACGATCAACTGTAACCGAATCTCTAATTTTATCGTCAACTTTATTGTCAACTTATTGTCATCAACTTTATCGTCAACTTTATTGTCAACTTTATTGTCAACTTTATCGTCAACTTTATTGTCAACCTTATCGTCAATTTTATCTTCAACTTGAGCGCCAACTTGAGGGCCAGCCTAAGCGTTGATGATTAATACAAGTTGAATACCATTTAGCGTTAAATCAATAAAATCAATAAAGTCAAATAACGACTATTATCGTTATATATAAATAGTATACAGTATATTTACATGTTTCTTGATTTTTTTTTTTTCTTTAATTTATCCAAATATAGATAAATTAAACACGAACATTTAAGACCGGCAAATCATTATCATATACTAAATAATACTAAATAATACTAAATATTGCTAGATACAGTTAAATAGCTAGCTAAATATACAGCTAAATACTGAGTAAATATTGATTAGATATGGAAGGAAGTCGGAGTAAAGAAAAAATAACCAAATCATTTTACAATTCATCTAGCATTTACGTACGTACATACGTATCTGGTATTAGTACGTATTAAAGCATTTGTACGAACGTACGTACAAGCCTAGATTCATACAAGCCTAGATTCGTTTGATAATGCATCGCCACAATCACTAATGCATACAAGCCGCAAACGCAATATTAAATTCGTGTTCGCATTTTTCGATATTCACGCATAGTATTTATGAATTTTGATTGGATGATGACAAATGACGACTAAAATTGTGATCAAAATGTTAAGTTCTATTGTTTGACAAAAATACATTATTACAGTATTATACGTATGTAATCGTTCTCATACACACTTTATTTACATTTTTATTCAAAGTATAAAGTCTCGAGTTCAAATGAGGTGAATAAGCCATGACCATAACTATAAACTGCCTTAGATTTATATGATAAATATATCTGATAAACGTACGTACATATTAATACGTACGTATTAGTATGTTATTAGTATGTGTATTGCGTACTGACGTACTGTACGTACGTATGTATGTACGTACGTATCAAGTATGTACGTACATATATCTGATATCAGATATGTACGTACGTACGTACGATCTATTACTAACTCAGCCATGATACCCATGATACGCAGCCATGATTCGCAGCCATGATTCGAATTCGATACGTACGTACGTACGTACGTAATTTGCCATCCACAATATATGTATAAGAAAAATTTTTCCATTATCTTTTCAAACATATGTAAAAGTTTATATTATCTTTAATATTATGATTTCTTACAATATATTTATTACAATATAAACTTACGATTACAATCTATTATTACAATATTATTTTCTAAATTAAAGCATCGTTTAATGTCTCAGAGTAAATTTGTCACAGCAAGTTTTGTTTGATAATAATACAGAAATAGTAAGCGATAGTAAATGATGGTAATCAATAGTTAATCAATAGTTAATCAAACAGTTAATCAATAGTTAAGTGGGTATAGCACGTAATGGTGAGTGATTGACATTAGAGATAAAAATAAGTAACAGCAAGAATACGCAAGAATACGCAAGTTTTAATTCGATTATGCATTTTATAAGTTTTTTTTTAAGTTTACGTACAAGAAAGGTCTCTTTTCCTATTAAATTTGTGAGAAATTTTTCGTGCTTTTTTGTACTTTTTCTTGATGTACGAATATAGCTAAACAATTGGATATTCCGCCCAATTTTTAAAATTGTCACGTGTTGAATCCTTTTACTGCAACATCGTGACTGAATTGGTTACCGAATTGTAGTGACAGAATTGTAGTAACCCGAATTGTAGTAACAGAATCGTAGTGACAGAATCGTAGTAACAGATTTGTACGTAGTGACAGAATTGTAGTAACCCGAATTTTAGTAACAGATAACAGATTGTATTCACAGGATTTAGTAACAAAATTGTAGTAACAA